TTTCACAGCTCTGTTTACGCTGACAAATACTTTCTTTGCAAATTTTGCTTTTTTTGCGGTAAATCTTTTTTGGCGCTGTGCCAAACAGCGGAATTTATTTTCTAGAACTGTTTTTCTACAAATAATGAAACGAATCTTTCATAAAAATAGCCATCCGGCATTATTTTTGTGTGTCTGTATCTTTATTCTAAGCGTCTCTTTATAGATAAATCTGAACGTCATCCATATCTCTGCTCTTAGCTAATAGCTTTTCTGGAGTGGTTTCATGACAACTTTGGAAGTTATACATCTTCTGAAGTATGTGGAGTTCCATATTTCTTAACAGTCTGCTTCAGCCAGGAACAACACTACTTTTTGATGTCTTGTATTCGACTTCGTACAACAATTAGTACTTTTCTTCACCAATATTTTTTCTTTTGATTTAGGTAATGTATCTTCATTTAAGCAGTATCATAATGGATCCTTAGCATTTGCTCCCCATTAGCACCTACTGGCCTCAGCGCAGGAGTTCGGGAATTACCGAGGGGGCAAGCATCTTAGCTTTAAAAAAAATTATCTATAAACGAGAAGTTATGCTTACTGTCAGGTTTTTTTGGAAAAGTAATTTTGACCTTTACTAGCGTCAACTTATCGCGTTGTTCCTTTAACAGCTTTTTTACAATACTGGAAAGTCTAGAAATTTACTCTTTTGGCCTAAAAGTTCTTAACCATAACCAGCCTTGGGTTTTTTATGGCGCCCTTGAGCTGGCAAAGTTCTACTAAGTGGTTTGATTATCTGAGGTAACCAAAAATTTTTGTTTATTGAAAAAAGAGTTCTTTCCAGAAGTTGGCCATCAATGTTAAGGAACTGATTGTGGATCCACTGCTTCTGTTTTTGTCTACCCAGCCGTTTTGGAGAAAAAATTCATTTTTTCCTTTTACTTTAGTGCCTTTGCTTCCTGATTGCGACGCAGTTGTTCTCATAGCTTTGAATCTAGAAAACATTCATTCAAGAATGATATAGTTTGTAAAGGTACGTTATATATATATATATATATATATATATATATATATATATAGGCAAAAATGCTAACTCAAGGCGGATACTGGATAAGACTGTTTTGTTCATTTACCAACTGATATTTATATGTTTATTTCTTTCATTTTTTTATCTGTTTATTCAATTATTTAGTGTCGACAGTCTGGACCGGTTTCGTTAAATAATAAGTTTAACTACTTTTTTTTTTCTTATTTTTGTATGATTTATGAATGATTTTCAGCTTAGTTACAGCCCCTCATGCAATGTCAAAAAGTTGAACTCATGGTTAATTCATTCTCGTAGTTTTACAGCATTGAAAGATTGTATTGTACCACCACTTGTACCTTTGAAGGGAAATTCCATCGTTTTTTATATTGTGGCCATTTTGATATTTTTAGAATTAAATTTGCAAATAAGAAAAAGATATTTTGGATTTTTTCATAACTAAATTTCCGGCATTTCAGTGGTACTGTCCACTACCAGTTAAATGCGTCGTTAGTGTCTGCAGTTTCTTCTGGTTTTTTCAACATTGTAATTTCTAGCATCGTTTTTCGTCCAACAGACAAATCTCTGTCCAAATAAATTCCTGTAATTTTCGTGATTAGATTTTCCCCACATGTCATTCTTACTGGTCTAGAGTACAGTCAGATATATGAAATTCGAAGACGCAGTTTGACTTCATCAAATTTTGATACGCTTTTTCAATTATTTTAAAAAGTTATTCAACTTCGTTTTGTAAAATTCATTAAACATATCGTGTGGAATTTACGTTAAAGTTGAAGTCTGGTAACCTTCAAGCTACTCGCTGCGTTCAGAATACTTAGCTCTGTACAGAAAGTCTTCTGTAAGACTAGCGGAGATCACAAAGTCTCAAAATCAAATATTCTAAAGGTTAGACGTAGAATGCGAAAAACTGGATATGGAAAAAATAGCTGAGACTGGGATTGAAGCGTGAAACTATAGTTCTCCATGTTAATAGAATCAAGAATGTTTCATAATTTTTAGCAATATTACGAAAAACTCAATTTTGGAAGGGACAGAAAAAACTGTGGAAGAAGAATGGAGCGGAAAAGGGGCATTAAAAGTTTGAAAATTTGTTAAACATTTTAAAAACGTTTCATCTTTGTACCGCCGTTGGAAAAGTTATAATTCAGTTTAATTTTCTTCCTGGCATGTATTCTGCATGCCAGCTGATATTCATATTTTACATGATTCATATGTTTCTGGAAAGCTCATGATCTCTTTATAAACTCCCCTGGAGGGGAGTTTGTAAAGTGCATGTTTTTTTGCTGGAAACATGCCAAGGGAAAATTTCGTTGCAGAAATGACTTCATAAAATATGCGGTGGAATTTATAGTGTGTAATATTCATGTTAATAAACATCCAATTTTCTTCCACTTGAAACTTTAGTCTTCAGCAATTTACATTCGGTGACTGTCGTAAATATTTGATGGTTTATAAAAGCTCCTGTTCTGCGACTGCTCACTTGTTACCACCTTCTTATGAAACGTTATCATCAAGTTTTTAAAACGGTGCTTGTTTTGCAACTGCCATCTGGTATCCATGATTTGAGCCGGCTGGGGATTGAATGCAGTAAGGTATAAATAAATTTCCATAGAGTCAGCGTTTGAGCATGTGCAAGAGTAGATGAATTAGAATTAGGAAATAGGAAGTTGAAGGAACGTTAAGTTTTAGGAGGTCAGATTGCTCATCAGGTGCCGCCTGAAGAAGTGTTTCTCATTGAAAGGCCAGTAGTGGCCTTGCGGAACAAAGTTAAGCGATGATTGGTTTAGAGGAGGAAAGGGCAGCTTAAGGGGTAACGGGTAAGGTGAAAGGTTCATAATAATCCCTACTCATTTAATGCGTTAAATGCGGTGGGTCTCAGGAAGCGATAGTTGAGAAACGCAATGGCGTTAGGTCGTAAGGGAGAAATGGGACAGACATTTGATTTGCGATATACGTTAAATAGCAGGGCTAACTGTTCATATCATTTCTGTAGAAATTGAACTGGAAGGTACAGTTGTAGGTAGGAGGTAAGTGTAAATGAACGGCAGTGAGGAGGTTTTGGGGGGGGGGGGGG